GTTATGGAATTCATGGCCGTGTCGAAGGTGGAATTGGTCCCTTTACGCTGACGGTTAGACCGATTACTCTCCCGGGTGTACATTGGTTCATCACTTAACTCATCGGGGAACAAGTAATTGGGAGTTATAGGCGACTTCGTTCTCCGACCCCTGCTTATTCCCTCAGGTGTTTGGGTAGATGCCCTTGCACCACTACCAATTGCAGTTGTCCCGTGGAAAATTGTGGTAAGCTCGCAATAGTGCATGCAAACTTTTTTCTTCATATCTCTGTCTTTTGGATGACCCCGTTTTCTGATAAAACATTATAATTATAATAAAACAGAATGCACCCAAATATTCTCGGGCTAAAAATAAAATCTTAAATCTCAACACAACATAACAATCACCTCATGTTCGATTAATATGAGCATCAAAATAACAGAACATTATATCACCATATTCCAGATTATATATTTCTTCCAAATTTTAGATTAATCTGAGTAGAACTAACACAAAATACAGAAGTGTCTTCCAAATGCACATGAAAGAAGCACACTGACAACAAATGGAACTTTCATCAACAATGCAACTAGTATACACAATAAGATCATATGAAAAAGGAAACATATTATACTTATCAAAATTGTTAACCACTTTACTAACCATGAACCACCGGCCCCAAACATCTTCGGCGACTGGATCTTACCTATGGCAGATTCCCAGCCAAACCCGATTTCTGTAGTAAGCATTGTGTAGAACCGACGCCACTGCACTTTCAAACGATCATGCTTACTCGTGATTTGTGTTATCTCATACTCCTGTTCTGGACCAAACACGTTGTTCAGTTGTTTCTGGATTTCCATCCAGTGACATGTTTTGAATTTTTGGCCTATGCAATTGCTCAGGATAACTTGGTCCAACATCAATGATATTAACCGATGTTCATTCTATAAAGACCACTTTGCTTCTCCTTGCTTCGATTTTGAGCACCCGACCTCAACAAAAATCGACATCTACAGATTTTCACGAGATACACCTCCCACATTGTGTTGTTTAATTGAAGACATGAAAATAAAATGACTACCATAGGTGTGCAAATCAGACATAACGATTCTTAATGATATAATGACCAAGTCAATAACATCACCAAGTATGCCAACAAATAAGGGCTCGGTTATGAACAAGAAAATCATAACGAAAATTGGGACGAAGAATGTACAACTACAAGCCAGTAAAGAAGAACAAGGACAACATGGGCTTGCCTTTTTTTTCAAAATAATTGTTCATACTCTCAACAGAAACATATATAAACTTTAAAAATAATTCTTAGTAGAAAAAATATATATATGAACAAATCGACTTGCAAAACTGAGAGACAACCATAAACGGATTTTCTAAGAGAATATACAACTCGGTTTCAAGTAAAACAAATTGTACTCCCCAATATTTAGGGTTCATTCGAAAAAACCAACAAATCGCATAAAGAACTAGGTTTTTACGTAAATTGGGTCAGAAATCCGTATATGTATATGAAAAAGAGCAACACTTGCGATAGGAATCGTAAAAATCGACTAACCTTCGTTCTCTGTTTTCTTTTCTTCTCAGGCGATGTCACTGACACGCTGCCGGTGCTTTCGGTATGCAGATTTGTCCTCTCCAGTAGAGCCCCAGCGACCGAATAGGTGGATTAACTTCCGGCTGGGAGGTGAAATGGTTGAAGCTCATTTCTTTTCGTTAACCCAAAAGGTGTAATTTATGGACGAAGTCTGCCTTCCCTACTATCTCTCGAGCCTTTTGTAAAGTTCAATTGAAAGACAGATGGACAGAACAATTCAGTAATACTATGGGACAGAAGGAAGGTGAGGTGGGTCCCGCTTAATAATATCAAGCATGAAATATTCTGTAAATAAACGGCCCATATCTCACTTTTATGAGTTAACTAGTATTTGACCTGTGCATTTGCACAAATGTAAATAAAGTATTGTGAGTTATTTTTATACATATAATGATTAATTATTTTTCTTTCACCTTTTTGCTGGCCAAATTTACAATTGAATGAGTTGGAATATCTTTTTTTTAAAAAAAAAATTGCGTTTATCTGATTGGATGTAATGTATATTTTGGTACGTCTTTTTTTGTGAATTATTTATTATTTATTTAAGAATTTCAAATACATTTTTTATTTTAAAAAATAATAATAATTTAAATTTGACCACAATTATAACATCTAATCACATTATACCGTAAACACATTATATGATCAACTGTCAATAATCAAAAGTTTAAAATGATTTTTGTAATTTTGAAGTGATTAGTGTTGATTATTTAATAATTAAATGAAAGATTAAATACATCAAAAGTAATGATTTTTTTGAGAGAAACGGGTTAAATTTCCACATCGGTAAAATTAAATATGTTTTATTAAATGCTTAGTTCGTAATTAACTAATTATATATATATATATATATATATACATATATATATAAATTTCGGGGGATTATGTTATGTGGCGGTGGCCGATTTTTCTCCGGGAGTTGCTTTTTGTCATTTAATGTGACGATTTTATTACAACATGAATGATTTGTACAGTGAGATGCAAAGGAGTATGTAATTTGTATATACAATGAAAATATTTAAATTTAATTACTTGTTGTGTTGTATATAATATGGGAAATATTTAAATTTAATTAATTATTGTGTATTTTACAAAATAGCTATTTTAAATTTAAGTGTGTATTTAATTGAGATTTTAAAAAAAAAAATTGAAGAATTTTTAAGACTTTGGAAATTATGGTATAATTTAATTTAGAGTTCTCAAGACTTACAAAAGTCTTGAGATATTCATTTGGTATTAATCCCGATGTATTTAATTATTTGAGATTAAAATTTGTTAAAATTTTTTAAGATTTGTTGGATTTTCTAAAGAAATAAACATATACTAAAACTCATTACAAATCTCACATCCAAACTTAAAATTTCATAAGATTCCTCTAATTTAAAATTTTCAAATCTCGAATAGCCTTTAAATGTCACTCGAAATTCCAAATAAATACACATACTTGTCGTGGATTTTACAAAAGTTACTTGCTAAAAAAGTATGAATATCTAGTTGCCACTTAAAATTGGTAAATTTTACTAAATGTAGTTAGGACTATATTGTGAAATTTTGAACTAAAATCAAAAACAACTTTAGTTACTAAAAAACAAAGTATCATAAATTAGTGAGAATAAATAGATAAAATAATGTGAGTGAATCAATTTTTTGATAATAAAAAAAATATATTTTCGAAATTCAAAGGTACTAAAGATAATAAGGAAAAAAGAGAAATGTAACGGCTACACAATAAACTAGTACGTACCCCGTGCGATGCACGGAACATAGATATTAAATGAGTTATTTTAACTGTCTTGTCCGTTTAAATCTTAAAAGTAATAGTGTTATTATCTATTTTCTACCTCTTTTGATCAACGTTAAGTCTAAAAAATAATAAGGTTATAAGTTTTTTTCATATCTTTTAACCAGCATTGTTTTTTAGCCAGAACTTAAATATGAGTATGTTAGGGCTAGCTTGTAAAATAATTAATATATTATCTCACTAAAATATTTATTCTAATAAAACTTTAATTTCAGTATATAAATTTATCCCTTGATATAAGAAAAAAGTAACAGTTTTATTTATTCTTGTTTATCATATAATATTTAATTATTATTTTATTATATAATAAAAAATAATAGTGTTAAATAGTTTTTTTAACACAAAGATAATATTAAAAAAAATATAAATATCCATACAAATATACGAACCAAGTTTTTTTAATAGTTTTTTATAAGTTTTATAAAAATATATTATAATATGTTAGTGCATTATTCAAAATCGTAATATTGATTTGTAGTTTTTAGAAACAGAATTTTGATTGTTTTTGCTCACCCCATTTTATGGAATTTTTTTATGTCAAGATAAGAAGGATTAAAAACAATATGTAAAATAGGAAACTTGATTAAAATTATAAATGCATTAATTACTACTTGATAAAATTAGAAGTTCATTAATTAAAGTTGATTTTTCTACCTACTATATTTAGTAAATAGATTTCCTTTTAATATAAGTATAGATGAGATTTTGACCAATATTAACATAGCAACACATTAATACAAATCAAATATGTTTTTATAAAATAATAAAAAAAATAAAATTGAAAAGTAACGATTTTTGGCGGGAAAGTGACACGTAGGTATAACTTAATAGGTTTTATTAAATGCTTATGAGCCAGTAATTATATATATAGATTCATTTTGAGTTAATTAATCCATAAACAAGCGTGCCCTTGGTATTTATTTGCAAAAAATAAAAAAGATTGAATTTTATTTATAATTACAAACTTTTAATGATTTTATGTGCAATAACTATATTTTTCTTGCAAATTATATTAGTGCAAAAATAACAGTAGTATGTAATTCTTTCTGTAGAATCTCTCATGCTTTTATGCACACAGTTCCAGGCTCCAGCCCACTTGCACTGTCTGTGTTCCTTGCTTTTCTTGAAATCCCAGCGATTTTAAATACACCTTACTGATACCTTCTCAGTTTTCCCCACTGCAAACACAAACAGAGAACTTTTTCCAGTTTTTTGCAGGCGACCTCTGAAAAGCCCTTTTTCCCGATTTGGGGATCAGAGGTTAATACCAGAATTTCCTTGCAACCCTTTTGAATCGCAAGCACTTTAATCATTTAGGGCGTTTTGATTGGGAAATTGATGGGTTCCTTTTTGATTGAGGTCTAAATAACAGTGAATTTGAAGCTTTATTAGATTTTAGAGATCTTTTTTTGTTTTTTTTTTTTTTTGCTAGAAATCTTTCTAATTTTGTTTGATTGTACGAGGAGCTGAGTCTGTGAGTATCTGAATTTATGTGGTGTCTGAATACAACTTTTGTTTTTCTTGAACTAGGATTTGTGGGATTGAGCAGGAGTGCTTTGAAAGGCTTTCTCTGCGCTTGAATTTTGAGCTTAAAGAGGTGCAAAAATGGAGAGATACGAACTTGTGAAGGATATTGGGTCTGGAAATTTCGGTGTGGCCCGGCTTATGAGGAATAAGGAGACTAAAGAGCTTGTCGCCATGAAATACATTGAAAGAGGGCACAAGGTTTGAACTTTTTTGCAGCATTTATATTGGCAGATCACTTGTGGTTCTTTCAGTTACCTGTTTTTTTTGTGTGTTTTGTTTCGTGATCTCTACTATGGCTGTTTGCTTGGTTCGATTTTGATGTTCGAGAATGCCGAGAGCCGTAGCCCTTTTCCCTTTTAAGTTGTCTTAATTTTGATTTAGGAGAAATTTTGGTTGTTTCAACTTGTAGATTGATGAAAATGTGGCTCGGGAGATCATAAACCATAGATCACTTCGGCATCCTAATATAATTCGATTCAAGGAGGTAAAGATTCTGTTTTGATTAATTTGGCTTTGGTGGATTGATATACAATATGAGTTTTGAGTATTTTGCTTTGTGATGCACAGGTGGTTTTGACCCCAACACATCTGGCCATTGTTATGGAGTATGCTGCTGGTGGAGAGCTCTTTGAGAGGATTTGTAATGCTGGACGGTTTAGTGAAGATGAGGTATTATCAACACATTTTCTTTTGCCACCCATTTTGCCTCACTTTTGTAATCGATCGAGGAAGTTTGTCTGATGTGTTATATATTTTGGTCCGTGTTTCACAATATTTCCAGTCAAGATACTTCTTCCAGCAGCTTATTTCTGGAGTCAGCTACTGTCACTCCATGGTAAGACTAACCTAACTTACGAATAGGATCGTGCATACAATATTTGAATTTGCATTATTTTTTGAACCTTGTTGAATGTGGTCATTGTTATAACATTATCCCAATTACTCCTTGATCTGTAGCAAATATGCCATCGTGACTTGAAGCTGGAGAATACTCTTCTGGATGGAAGCCCGGCCCCGCGCCTGAAAATATGCGACTTTGGTTACTCAAAGGTAGTGATATAGATACTGGATATTTAGGTGTAGTATCTTTTGTTTTAGAATGTTTGTACACAAATAAGCGTGTGCTTACCAGTTTCCTTCTTTCTTTCGCTTTTTTTAAGTCGTCTCTACTTCATTCGAGGCCTAAATCAACTGTTGGTACACCTGCTTATATTGCTCCGGAGGTCCTCTCCAGGAGAGAATATGATGGAAAGGTAAGATCTGTAACTAAAGCCATAAGTTGCTGGTGTAGAAACTTAAATTGTCTTATCGTACTTCTTACTTCCCCTATTTTCCTATTATAAATAAATCTGTTCTGTACCTTAACTTATGTGGTTTGTGTTGGGTACTCATTGCTTTCTTTGGCTTCCACCCTTAGAATAGTTTGTACCTTCCTTCTGTGTATATATACATATACAGACATGTTTGTGAAATCAAAGAAAAACAAATTGTTTTTGTGAACATTTATGTTTAATCTTGGTTGGTATTTTACTATTTTTTCTCAGTTGGCTGATGTTTGGTCATGCGGGGTGACACTTTATGTTATGCTTGTCGGAGCATATCCTTTTGAAGATCAAGAAGATCCAAAGAACTTTAGGAAAACCATCCAAGTAAGCCTTTTCATTGTGGTCTTTTTTCATGCTTGGAGGTTTTGGCTTATATATGCAGATTACAGTGTCTACAATTAGTAAGTTTATCCCTTGCATTTTCTATGGTGATTTTTTGCAGAGGATAATGGCTGTTCAATACAAGATCCCCGATTATGTCCACATATCTCAAGATTGTAGGCACCTCCTCTCTCGCATTTTTGTTGCCAATCCTTCCAGGGTACGTCTAATGTCTGTTATATTATCTTGATATTTTGTAGTAAAAATTGTCATGTTGACTGAGTTACTGAAATTTGGTGGTTATGCTTTCGTTTTCTGTTCGATTAAAAAATAAAGTGATGATCTATTCTATTTTCACTTTTACAGTTGAATCTATTGTTGTATCACAATCAATCAATCAATCAACAAGCCATTAAAATCCCACTAAGTGGGGTCGGCTATATGAATCACATGTCGCCATCGTGCTCGATCAAAGCACATATCCCCATTCAAATTTAGATATTCTAAATCATTTTTTATCGTCTCAGGGGTAAAAAAAATGGTGCCCTTGAGATGTAAATTAAAGATAGCCCTCTTTCAAAAATACTATAAATGTCTCCCCTAAACTTTTTTTACTATTGCAAATTACGCTTCCAAGAGGCGCGGTATTTTTGTTACAATGTCTCAAGGGGGTGTTTGTAATTCTAAAAGCGATTGATATCTTTAGGCCAAATTTCTTGTTGTTGGTCTATAGTCTATACAAGCAATAACAAGTTCGTCTAACCACGCGATTTTTCGTATCTGTATTTGTTGCAGAGGATTACTATCAAAGAAATAAAATCACACCCGTGGTTTCTCAAGAATCTCCCTCGTGAACTAACCGATGTTGCCCAAGCACAGTACTACCGAAAGGAGAATCCCACCTTCTCCCTTCAAACCGTGGAGGAGATCATGAAAATCGTGGAGGAGGCCAAAACCCCTCCACGGGTCTCCCGCTCGGTTGGGGGCTTCGGGTGGGGAGGGGAAGATGGTGAGGAGGATAAAGAGGATGTTGCGGATGATGAAGTCGAGGAGGAAGAAGATGATGAGGACGAGTATGACAAGCAAGTCAAGGCGGCTCATGCGAGTGGGGAAGTTCGTCTCACTTGAAAAACAAAAAAATGAAAAAGTAAAAAAAAAAAAATAATAAACTTGTTCATCTACCCTACTTTTGTGT